ACAGCAATTGGTACATGGAGAGCTGGGTTGTTCATGCCTGACTTGAGCTCTGAATCACTGTGAGATCATCAACACGTCACCTGCCCTCTCAGGGCTTATTTTCTCCAACAGTAAAATAAAAATATAGAATGACTTGTTTCAATAAGTCACATTTCAACAAGTCATTTCCTATCCCTTCCAGTTCCAAACTTCTACAATTTAAAGCACAGCCACCGACCAAATGAACATTCTGTGGATTGCTCTCTAGCTCTCTGTAAGGTGCCCCAGTGAAATGGAGACTTCCAGGGAAGCCAGGGCTCCGTCCTGAAGTTCCCTTCCTAAAACCTGCACACGGGTGGCTGAGGCGAAGATAAATGCCCCAGGGAAGTGTCCTGTCAAACGTTCCTCTGTTCCACTACTCTCTGAAAAACCTGAAAGGGCCCAGAGTGGGGCCCCCACATCTGACTGCCCCCAACACACGTTCCATGGTGCTGGGCCTCATGGCAGGGAGCCCTCTGATGTCAGGGCCCTGCCTCTCCTATGCTGTTGGCGAGATCTCAACGCAGACCTGGTTCCCATGAGCCTTCCCAGGCTGGCACTGACTCCACGCTGCTCAGCTGGCAGGTGCTGCCTCTACCCACCTCTATCACCATCTCCTCTCATTCTTCTATCTCACCTACAAAACTGTCAAGTGCAATCTCCTCAAGAGAATCATGACATCCAGATAGGATGCCTCTCTGTCCTTCTCCATTTTAGTCATCTTCTTCTTTAGGAGCTGATGATATTGGCTGCTAGGATTTACCACCCATTTAGTATTAACAAACATTTAGTAAGTATCCAATTAATAACAGATAACAGGTACACAATCGCTAGAAGCTGCTCTAAAACCCTGCAGGCCCAGGTATCACGCTCACTGCTCTGTAACTGTGACAGGGTCTGGATCTGCCCTTTAAAACCTGGGATTTAAGTTAGCCCTTTCCCAGTATTTCTGCACCTTCCCACACTCTCCACAACTCCTCAGTCTGTGGCTAACAACCTTACCTGCAAATTCTACCTGAATCTGGGAACTTGGAACCACCTCTCCCTTCATTGGGCTCCCAGAAGCTCACCTCTGTCCACTGTCTTTACTCACAACCATCACTGGATGTACCTTCCCCACATACCTACTTCGTCTATGGGTCTTTAAGAGAGTTTATCTATATACCACCTCTTTTTCTTCAAGGATTTTGAAAGAGAATACAATAAAAATAGGCAACTCTAAAAGAAGAAAATGCCAACTTTTAAAAAACTCCATCACCTTTTCAGCTGTTAAAGTCAAGAAGCTGATAAGCAAAACTGCAAATTCTATCTATTGGCAGCCTATCTCTGCATTTATGTACAGGAGCTGGGAAGAGGGAAGAAGGGAAAAGCATTGGAGCAGTAAGTATAAAGTGCTATCTAAATTAAATATTCATTTATAAAGCAGTAAACAAACACCTGCAGTAATTTGCTTTGCAGGATGTTAGAATATTCTCCTAGTCTGTTATGTATGTTCCTAGATGGTCTTATTAGATTACTATATCAGCTTTTTAAACATTAAAAACAAAATGGTTCAAAGGGCAAACGATGGTAGTCACAGTGTGGCATACAACGGATAAAAAATGCAGTGCATTCGAGACCAAACCAGGCGGCAAGCACAGGAAACCAGAGCGGAGGGTGGCGTAGCTGAAGGGCACTCACGGGATGGGGTTCCCCTCCATACAGCGGGTCCCGAAGCCGGGTTCTCGGGTGAGGGCATTCAGGAGCTCCTGGGTGCCCATGTCCTCGGGAGCGTCGTTACTATGGGAACAGAAGAGGCAGCCAGCTCAGCGATTCATTAAAACCATACATTTGAAGGAGGAAGTTTTTCAAAAAACAAATGCTTTATTAAGTAATTCCTGTGTGCCAAGCTCTTAAAACAGCAATGAATAAAACAGAGCCCACCCACCAGGAGCTCAGACTCGAGCCATATACTTGATATCACGGTAACATACAGCACTCCAAAGTGGGGCTTGTGTAAATAAACTATATGTACAGAGGTGTGCGCATGTGTACGTGCACATGTATATCACACATACTTATACACATTGACATACATATTTTAGCAAAAAGTAAATGAATTCATTAAGGATCCGTATTTCACAAATAGTTCCACAATCACCCAGGAGGTACAGAGAGCCAGGATATTACTGGAGGCGGACTTTACTGGCTGCATGTTTGCACGGACACTGGGATCACACAAACAGTAATGGGCTCAGGTTACAAACACAAAGACAGTCCACGCTCCACAGCCCTGGGCAATCGGGGTCAGCAGCTGGGAGGGGAAAGAATAAAGTCACCTGCACTAGGCAGGCAGGTGGGGTCACAGAAAGAAAGACCGACTCCCATGTTTACGTATTTTTTCTGTCTCTCTTTTTTTTTAATATAGCGTCTCTTTTGCATCACTGAAACAGATCTACTGCTTGACTGCTTCTGAGATCTACCCGTCTACAATTACTAGAGGACTGAAGAAAATCCTTGTGTAAGGAGATGGAGAAATCCCTTGGTCCTTTTGTTTGAAGCACTGGATTGTTATGGAGTAGCTGGTATTTTTGTCCAAAGCACAGACAATAGCTACTATCCACAATTAAAAAGTCTAGATAGTGAATGCACGCATTGTACTGTGCAAAAAACAAGAGCGTTGACAGTGTCTGGAAGCCCTGTGTTAAACCACAAAATGAAAATCCAGATACAGTATAGCTCGATCCTAGATTGTTTGCAAGGGCAGATCATTTACATAAAACGCATGCCTGTTCCTGACAACAGCAGTAGGAAGAGGAAAGGAGTGAAAATGTGGCAACAGGGGACTGACTGGCTTATTCCTTCAGCCACAGCTGGTAAAGCCTATTCCACTGTGTGATTCTTGAGCCCACCTCCCCCGGCCCTCAGCAGAGCAGACACCGTGGTTTGCTCGAGCTTTCCTCTCTCCTTGAGCGCAGAAGGCAAACACATACCTGACGAATGTATACTGTTCGTTGTACATCCAGGGCTGAAGTTCCAGGCTGGGGTACTTGCCAAAGGGTGGCACGATCAAGCTGAACACCAGGGCAATGCAGACAAACACAGCTGGCAGGACAATCTATAACCAGGGGGGAGCAGAGGGAAGGGAAACCGTAGAAGACAAGTGTTAGAAAGGCAGCCATGGGACAAGCCTCCCAGACCAGCCGGCACGAAGGCGAGGAGTGCAAGGCCCATGGCCAGACCCCACCGAGGCACTGTCGGAGGGTTGGAAGCACGGAGCCTGAAACCTCTTCCCTCCAGGGCATCCCTGGAAGCTGGAAACACAAGGCCAGAGGCTACGGCCACCTGGCAGAGGCATCAAGCTGAGAGTAAACAGTGGTCATGCGTCGGGGTGACTCAAAACATTGGGTCCTGCCCTCTGCCCCCTGAAAACCTGGGGAAGACCACGCTGGGCCATGAGCCCAGCTCAGCTCAGAGGAAGGACCGGGAGCCAGAGACCTGAAGCTGTTCTGTCCCTACAAGTGCATCCATGAGAAGTCACTTCCCCCTCTGGCCTCAGTTTTCTCATTTATAATCTGTAGACTGAGATTAGCTGACCCATTCAGGCCCATTTTGTGACAATAAATTTAAAAAGCCACTCTCCACATTGTCTCCACTAAAAGGGAACAGCAGCCATTGTCTCCCCCACACCCTCAAAAGTATAATTATCTAAATCCTTACTCAACCACCTCAAACTTTACACTCGTACCTTCTCTGAAAATGACTTGTACATACTTTAGATAAGTAAACTCTAAGCTCCTTCTCCTTATTCTTGAGAAATTTATCCTTAAAAAAGAACTGAAAGATTCAAATGATACCCGTGGTTTTAATGTTCTGGGGTTTCAACGCTAAAAATTATCACTGAGTGATGAGTAATTCCATGGAAAAGTACTATAAAGAGAATTATTTCATTTAATGATCATTACAACCCTAAGTAGTAGTGTCATTATCACCAATCAACAAACAAGGGCACTGATGCTGAGAGAGACGGAGAAACTTGCCCGAGTTCACTCAGCAGAACCAGAATTCAAATCCAGGACGGTCTGCTCGATTCATACTCTACATCACCCACTCAGTCTGCAGGGAAGGGTCTCTGGAGAGCAATCATGTTCCCCTCTAACCAAGTGAGTCAGCAAGCAGGCGCTGCCAGGCAGGCAACAGTGCAAGGAGGCTTCTCCATCAGTAGTTTCCAACTGGTTATCTTTCCTATCAGTTTGCAGTTAAGCATCATTTAGAGAAAAACCAAGTTTCCAATACATTGATGTGTCAAGTGCATCTGGTCCTATCATCGCTCAAGTTATGAAAAACTCCGCCCTAGTTATGCTCTCCTCTACAGTAAATACACACACACAAACACATAGAGTAATTACTAATGTGAGGCCCATTCTCAGCACAACAACCATGTCACAGGTACTATTAGTATCCCCATTTTACAGATGAGGAGATTGAGGCACGGAGAACTAACTTGCCAGCAGATACATGAGTGGGGAGAAGCAGCCCTGGGGTGGAAATAGAGACAATCTGGCTCTAGCTCCCATCTCACAGCCATGATGCTCTCCTGCCTTCAGGGGTGAGGAAGCCCAAGTCCTGGGCCTGCAACAGCACTGCTCACCTGAGCGAAGAACCCCTTCCGACTCCGCCTGGCAATCAGCAGCCTCTTCCACAAAAGGGCCACGAACTGCTGCTGAGTGAGTTTCCAGCCCTTCACCTGGTAGGAGCCTTTGCCATCCATCCCGCTGAGCAGGTCTGTTTCTCTGGATTCTGCAAGAAGCCAACACGAAGGTCACCTATCATCTGAAGCACTTGGATGTCACCGTGCTCCTTCCTCCCGCACCTGCAGCCACCATCTTGGAGGTTGCGTTTGGAGGGGAAACTATCTCAGAAGTAAAGGACTTTCACATCCAAGAAAATGTTAGGACTCCCACGTGTGCAGCCACAGCAGGCTCGGCCTTTTGTTCTCATCTGATGAGAGCAGGAAATGAAGGTGCCCGAGACAGTGAAGAGATGTGTGCACACGTGAACAGTGTTACAGCCAGTTGTTCAGATGAATCGGGTCATCCTCGATTGCTTACGGAATACTCTATGAAACGGGCCGTGAACACAGGCTGACACCCTTGAGGACACACAATGGCAATCTGTCTCCCATCTATTAGACTTTTGGTAAAAGGTAGACACAGTCAAGTGACCTAAGTACAGACAGTGTCTGAAGTCAGGGAGAACAGGAGAGTCACACACTCGCATGAGCAGGGAGAGCCAGACAGGTTTCTGTCCTTAAACATTCCATAGAAATCCTCGTCTTCAACAAATGATTTCCTAACTGTCATCTTACCAGTATCTGCTTGATTTCTTGCCTCCCTTTCTCCATCCCAGTCAAACACACAGGGAGACACACTCATCCAAAAGATCTAAGTCTAGGGCACGGGTGAGTCTAAATGCAAAATCACCCTTCTGGGTCTTTCAAAATCATCCACCCATTCAAAGAAGATTTACTCAACAGCTCAACACCCGAGGTGTGCAAGAAACTGGGACTCCACAGAAAAGATTCTAAATGGACTCAGAGAATCGATGGGCATCCTGGGAGGAAGACCCCAGCTCAGGGAAGGCAGTGATGAGGGTGGGCTTGCTCCTTCAGGCTGGACGGCATGGGCAACACTGGAAAAGGGAGAGTGGCTTTTCTCATTTTCCCACTTCCCTTGGGACCCTGCAGGCATCTACCATCCTGGCCACCAAAAAATAACCCAAGAGAAGAACACACGAGGGAACACGCGAGTTTCAAGATGTGGAACACAGATCTCGCCCACACGGACCTGGGTCTATGTCGGAATCATTGGGATCGACAGCATCGTCCTCAGTGAAGGGGTGAAGGCAGCTCTGCTTGTCCCCGAAGGCCCGCCGGTTGCGTCTTGCCGGCAAAGTGCCATCTGAAGGCAAAGGGAAGGAATGCCCACATTTTATTTTACTTTTTACAAAATAAACTCTCTGCATCCGTAACGGACTTATACACGAAAGATGGGAATGGCATACAACAATGCAAAGGGAAAGGCCTAGCCCCGGTGAGCTGAGCAGCCTGCAGGAGGCACAGCCCAGTGTGCAGCCCCCGAGGGTTACCTGAGGTCTCGGCGTCCACTCCACTCTCTTCAGCCACTTTGAGGAATATCTGAAAAATAAGAGAAATTGAGACTATTACAGGCTGCATGTGATGACGGCAGCCACCACTGCTGTGATGATGACATTATCAAATGGTATGCTAGGCCCTAAACACAGGAAGGAGAAGCTTCGCTTATTAATGCCGCTTGGTCAGAGTCACTTGGGAGAGAAGCCTTTTTTACTGAAGAACACAGCCTCAGTGGCGGGACTGTCAACCCAGACTGATTTTCACGTTAAAGCTACGGCCTCAGGACACTGCAGCAGAAGAAATGTGTTCCCCACCGACAGAGAATGAGCTGAGTGGCTTCTTCCAGGAGTATGGCCCCAAGTCTTGGAGTGGGCTAGCGCCGGGAGACATGATCCAGGACAGAATGATCAGGAGACGATGGGCTTCCCTTCTCCTGAAGTGCTGAGGCAGGGATCCAGACACCAGAAGAGACTCTGAACTGGACCAATGACTTCCAAACGGATCTACAGGCCCCTGCTGCGGAAGCACGCAACAGAAGCACCGACAGCAAGGCCTTCCCTCCAGAAGTTCCGATTCGAAGCCCTGCAGCTGAGCCTGGGCGTTCTGGTCGTCGATGATATCCCCAGAGGACTCTGCCGCACAGTCAAGCTTGGGGATCCCTGGACCAGACAACCTTACATCCCTTCCAGCCCTCAAGGCCTGGGATGTGTGTCCCTAAAGGGAATATGGGCTCTGAAGCCCAAAACCCCTTTTCAAATCCTCGCTCAGCATCCCTGAGTGTCTACTTTCTCATCTTACTATGATGGTTCAATGGAGTTGCAATGACTTAAAAAAAAAAAAGAAAAGAAAAGAAAAGAAAAAAGACACCAAGCTTGGCACTTGGCACAAACAGAGTTTCCATAAATGCCGGCCACCTCCTAGGCATGGCCGTGACACGGTCACACCAGGAAGCAATCCTAATACTTCTTTCCCACTATCGCCCACTACAACCTTAAAGGGTTCACGGGGGCTGACACTGCCCGGATGCCAATGACCTCAGGATTCCGTGAGCAGTTCCAGGGTAACCTGTTCCCAGTGGAAACGCAGGTTGCGTGTCTGGCCTTTGCACTGTTGGCCCTGCTGTTCTGACGGCCGGGCCCTGAACTTACTTCCTCCAGGGTCGTCTCTGAGATGCCGTAGCTGGAGATGCCCAGGTCCGAGAGCCGGTCGTCGATCTCATGGAAGAGTTCCACAAAGGCTCCCTCTTTGGCAGCTTCGTAGGGCAGCACATAGGTCAGCTCATGCCCGATGTCTTCCACAAGCCGGGCCTCGGCCACGTGCTTCCGGATGAGGTTGGAGATGATGGCGACATCTGTGGGAAGCAAAGCACAAAGACGGCTCAGCCAGCGCAGAGGCCCCACACTGAGGGCCGGCCGTTCCCTGCCTTCTCCCTCTGCCTACCCCTCAGAACTCCACTAGCCATGCACCACACCTGTCTCAGATCCCTAAGTCATGCCACATGTTCATCTCTGGCCACAAGTTCCTGGGGGCAAGAACTATGTCTTTGTATCCCCAAAACCAGGTCCATCGTAGGTTCAGTGCATGGGTGGATGGGCGGATGGACGGATGACTCAGCTTGAAAGCCTGGTTTCTATTGCCTACGCTCTAGGATTCTTCAGTGGAAAACTCGACTAAACAAACTTGAAAAGATTCTTCACCCTCCCCTAGAAAGATCCTTATATCTATCTCAGTAGAAGCCTAATCAGACAGTCCATGGAAGGAGTCTCCTCCTGGAGAATGCTGGCGACGAGGACTGGGCAGAGAAGGCCGAGGTACAGGCTTCTGTTGCATCCTCGCTACTGGTGACGCTGGCCTCCCACACACACGTCCGGAGCAAACCCAGCAGGCTATTCCCGTTCTCCTGGGCTCTCAGCCTCCCTAGGTCCTGACCTCTAGTCCCTCCCCAGTGGCTTGGCCCTGAGCTCCGCATCCCTGGTCTCCAGTGTCCAGCCAGATTCACCTCCGCCCCCCTAAGGGATCCCCTCACCCCCAATCATCTCAGCTCTCTGGGGCCCTGCCCTGTCAGCTCCCAGACCAAGCTCCAGGCTTCCCAGCAAGCGTGAGGCCAACCCGCCACCAAGCTGCACCCTCTCCCACAGCCCCCCAGCCCGGCCCAGCAGCAAACCTTGAGTCAGCGCCACCAGCCTCTGCACCTCTCCTCCTCTGCCTCCACTCTGCCCAGCTGGGGGAAGCTCAGGCACCACCTGAATAAGAAACCCCAGAGTCCTTACCGATGGTCAGCGTGTCACTTTCATGGTCGCTGCCCAGGCCAGCATCAGAACTGCTTTGAGAAACACTGTCCTCCTGATGGCAAAGAAGGAGGTGAGAATGGGTCAGGGACCAGGCAAGGCACAGCCACCACCACCTTCGCCAGGGAGGGCTCCGAGAGGCTCTGTGTGAGAGAACTAGAGCGGCTTCTCCCGAGAGGCATGCAACGGGGCGGCCAGGCTTCTGGGCCACAGTCCGACGTATGTGCCGTGGGGATGGCCGCCCTCCTGGAGGTGGGATGTCAGGCTGCAGCACCATCCACAGAACCATGGCCACCAATGGGTGCCGTGAGCAGGCCCTCGGCCGGCTGAGCGTGGGAGTTACCTGGCTAGATGTCTAGTCAGTGCTTCTCAAGCTCTCATGTGTGTTTAATCACCAGGGCACTGTGATTAAATGCAGATCCTGAGCCGTCCTGGGGTGGCCCAAGTTTCTGCATTTCTAACGAGCTCCCGAACGTGATCCCAGTGCGGCCGTTTTTCAGACCACACTTGGGATAACCTGGTGCTAGTGAGAGGCAAGTGGACGGGAGCTCAAGGTTGGGATGTAAAGGTTTTAGGTGCCACGGGTTTCAGCACATTAATGAATCTCAGGCATGTACTGTGGTCCAGAGGAAAACGTCCTTGGTTATTGGGTTCTGGTCCCACCTCCGTTATTTACCTGCTGGGTGAACTTGAATAAACTACCAAGTCACTACCAGCCTCCCTTCCCTCATCGTGGACAGTAATTACAGTATCTTATTCCCAGGGTTACTCTGCACTTTGAGATGATGTTTTTTTAAAAAATGTGTAACAGCAAACGCCACAAAGAATTATCATCATCATTTGTATCTTATTCCCAGGGTTACTCTGCACTTTGAGATGACGTTTTTTAAAAAAATGTGTAAGTAACAGCAAACGCTACAAAGAATTATCATCAGCATTCTCTTTTGTGCTCAGAGTCTGCTAGACTGAGTGTCTGGCATGAACTCGCTGCTCAGTAAACAGCTGCTTTGCAGATTGAAAGGTGAGGTCACTGCGATGGCAAGGTCATGACAGGAACAGCAGGGCCTCCTGCAGCCACGCAAGTCTCTTTTCTCCAACATAACAAAGTCCTCTAAGGACTTTTCTCCTCCATCACCCAGCCTACGTGCTTCCACAGGAAAACGCAAAAGGGATTCAACAGAGCTCGCACTACGGGAACAGAGGCCTCCCGAGCCTTCCACGTATGCGGGATGATGTGATTCCAAGGGAACCACGGTGCCAACGTGGCGGAGTAGGTAGAGGGAGACAAGCCCTTCTCAGCCAGCAAGTCCCGACTCCCCGACCCCCGCCAGCCCCCGCACCGGCAGAGGCGGCAGCTCACCTTTTTCAGGTACGACACGGTGCTGCTGCTGTTTCTGCAGGAGCTGAGGGAGGACTCCACGTCCTTCTTGACCAGGGTCAGGTAGTAGCCGGTTCCCATCTGGTTCTTCAGGAACAGGGAGGAGCCCACGCAGCACAGCTTCCCGTGGGAAATGATGGCGATCCTGTCCCCCAGGATGTCCGCTTCGTCCATGTGGTGTGTGGAGAGGATGATGGTGCGGCCTGCGGCACAAACACAAGGACACGGCACAGGTGAGACCTGTCGATGTGCACTGACTGCAGTGGCTAGAGCTAAAATGTTAGCAGGGGTAAGCATGGGAGAAAGACCTGGCAGGCTGGTGGCCTGGACTTCTAGATGGCCAAGCTGTGGGCAGAGCTACTGCATCCTCATAAAAATAAAAACGAACGTTTGGGGAAGACGACCTGCCAGGCAGTGTGCTAGGTGGTCTACATGCATTCTCCTTTAACTTAATCCTCCATGGGGTAGGCTCTACTGTTATCACAGGTAAAGAAACTGAGGCAAGTTAAATGACTTTTCCTAGGCCTCAGGGCCAGCCAGGGTTGGTTCCAAAGCCTGTACTCCTCATTGCAACCATAAGGTGGCAACCTTACGTATCATCTAAATCTCTAAGCAGACTGCCAATCATGCCCCTGCACGTCCCCCACCCACTCATTTATTCATCCACTCTTTCGACAAACATAAATTTAATGCACCACATTGGGGACAGAGATGAACAAAGACACAGCCTCCGCTCTCAGGGACCTCAGTCAAGAGGGGACATGGTTATATGACACGTGGATACGTTTTTTCTAGAGATGGTGATGGGGGCTGTGGGAGCCCAAAGGAGATGCCCTTTATCCCGTTTCCCTTCTTCTTGCAGGCCACTAGGTCATGAAGCATAAACTTTAAGCATCCTATAAACCAGGCCTCCCCCTACACACAGGGGGGCGCACAGCTTTCAGAAAACGAGTTCCGCATTTTCCCCCGAGAAGCAATTCTGTTGCTCTAGCAAGAACAGCCATTAGCTATGGCCATCCTTCTCGAGCCTCTTCCTCCCTTCTTCCCTCCCAGCCCACAACACAGGATAAATGCACATTGTTTACCTTGTCGGTATTTCAGCAGGAGCTCCCATATTCCCCGGCGGGAGTAAGGATCCACGCCGGCTGTGGGCTCATCCAGAATAACAACCTTGGATCCCCCAACAAAGGCCAAGGCCACAGACAGCTTTCTCTGCATTCCACCTGTAAGCAGGCGAGAGGGAGGCTGAGGACAGTGAGCCAGGGCAGAAGCGGCGAGAGAAGAATGGAGGCACCCAGACCATCCAGGGACGGGGTGGGGCGGGGAGAAGAGGGAAAAGGGAAAGGAAGGCAGCTCTAGGCCTCACCTGACAGCTGATTGGTTTTGCTTTTCAGTTTGCTGGGTGGCAAACCGACATCCAGGGCCATCTGCTCCATGTCCGCTTTCACGAACTTCTCTGAGAGGCCTTTCAGGCGGGCGTAGAACCAGATGTGCTCTTCCACAGTCAGCCTGGGGACAGAGGGGCAGCTCAGCCCTGGGCCCTGCAGGACGCTCCGGGATGCAGGGCCTCTCTGGAACCCCGCCAACCAACCGAGAAGCTGGCTCTGCATTAACCTGGAGCTGCGCCCCCTGAACTTCAAAGGACCTCAGACCCTCAGAGAAGGGAGAGCCCTGTGGAGGGCATGAGCATGAGCTGCTCACTTCACACAAAAGGAAATTGGGGCCCAGAAGGATAAAGTCCTTGGCCCAGGTTACAGAGCCCAGGTCTTTCTCTGCTCCACCACAGGGCTCCCTGGGGGACCTCCTACTTGCTGGTGGGACAACCCAGCATCAGGGAGGGCTGTGGCAGGAGAGAGGACGGGCCCATCGACCCTCCAGAATGACAGCAATGGACAGCATTTCCCAAGCCCTCATCCTCTGGCGGGGCTGATGGAACATCTCCCATCCTACAGTTTACCTCCTCCTTTTCCTAAAGTTGAGGGACAACCAGATCTCCAAGTGTCCAGGCGAGGACGCCACCAAAGAGCATAAAACGCTTAGGTCCTCCTCCACCCCTGACTCATGACCCCACACATCCAGAGAGGCCCCGCCCTCCTGTGCTGCTGGTACTCACATGTCAAAGAGCACATTGTGCTGGGGGCAGACCCCCAGGTTCTGCCGGATGGTATTCATCTCGGAGCGAATGTCTTTCCCCAGGATGTAGGCGGTGCCCGAGGTGGGAGGGAACAGCCCAGTCAGGATGGACCTGAGGACAGAATGTTCCAGTCCAGGACTCAGCGTGAAGCCCCACCTGCCCAGAAACGTTCTATACCTGGCTGCAAAGCCAGCACAGAGCAGAGGCATCAAGCCTCCCACGCCTGACTCCTTCCTAATGGACTCTGACACCCCACAAAGCATACAGGCCTTCGCTTTAGTGACTGACTACAAGTGGGCCACATACTGAAAGTGACCACCTCAGTATGAGCATTTTTTAATGAACTCCAATTTGCACTGGAAACTAGTTTCGGACATGGATCCTGCATGCCTAAGATCATGTCCACATAAAATGGGTGAACAACAAGCAAGTATTCGAGATAAAAATAATTTTGCTTGTGTTAAGTGGTAGGATTTTTGTATGCCTTTTAAAGATTTTATGCAGTGTTCGTAACATATTGGTTTTGCATTAAAAAAAGATAAAAGAGAAAGAGGTCACCCCAATGACATATCCTTTGCAATGGCTGAGAGGCCACACTGAAAGCCGCTCAGGCTAATTCTGGTGTTTCCGTGGCCTTCGCGCCCTTTGGAAGCTGCCCACTAGAAGGTCCTCGTAGGTCCAGGGAAGACAAGCATACAGCCAGCTGCCCAGCTGCTTCTCACAGCTGCTTAAAGACAGAGTTCCTGGAAAATGCTACCTCCCTCCAACACATGTAATCTTTCTTGTCTCACATTTCTGGGCAAAGCAGCTCCAAAAGAGAACCTTTCTCAGAGCTGTGAGAACTTCACGTTCCAAGCACACTGCCAAGAACTGAATGGGAATGGTCAGGAAAAGGCCCCCAGACTGTTGTAGGCTGAATCAATAACATATAGTAAACCCGGCCTTTGGAAAGCACCATCTGATTAGATAGCATTTTTACACTCATCCTCGCCTCGTGTGTCCTGCCCTTGCCCAGTGACCAACGCAGTGTGCTTAGGGATGAACTTCTAACTGTGCTCAAGGACCGCCCTGGGGCTGATTCCGAGAGAACCACACCCTCTTACATGGTGGTGGTCTTCCCGGCTCCGTTGTGGCCCAGAAAGGAAGTGATCTGGCCCTCGTAGAAATTCAGGGTCAGGCCATCGACAGCCACCTTCATGCCATCTCGGTAAACCTTCATCAGGTTCTGAATGGACACACCCAACTTCAGGTGGCTGGGCTCTTCCTCCATGCAGACTGTGAGAAGAGAGAACACAGGAACGAATGCAGAAAACAATGACGCGCGGCCTGTGGAGACCAGCAGCTGGGCTTGTACTTTAAGAACTGTCCCCTCTCCATGGCCCCTTGTGGTTTCCCAGGAAGGAGGACAGGCTATAAATACAGGGGTGCACAGAAGTAGGCTAATAATAATACATAAGTAATATAATAGTTGATAAATAAATAATAGTACAAGAATAAACTCTGTTTCATGTACTCACAACTTGTAAACATACTTTTGCCCACCCCTGTATTTACTTAGGGTCCATTTGGGCACTGGTGTTGGTGATGGGAACACAATGATACAGGAGGATCAGTCCTGTAGGGGAAAGACTTGACAATCAGTTAAAATATAAGATGCTAAAAGCTCTTTAAAAAACACATTTGAAGTGGCATGACACTTGTGGTGCAGCTATCTTTTGGAATACTACTCAGCAATGAAAAAGAACAATCTGTTGATACACATCACAACTTGGATGGATCTGAAGGGAATTATACAGAATAAAAACCCAATCTCAAAAGATTATATATTGTAAGGTTCCATTTAAATAACATTATGGAAATAATAAAATTATAGAAGTGGAGAACAGAATCTTGATTGACAGATGTCACAGAATGGGGAGGAAGGGCTGTGGCTATGAAAGGGTCACAGGAGGGAGCTTGTGGTGAAAAAAACAGTTTTGCATCTCGACTGAAGCAGTGATTACATGAACCTATACAAGTGATAAAACTGCACAGAACTTAACAGACACACACACACACACGTGCATGTAACACGAGTGCACACACACACACACACACACACACACACACGTGCATGTAACACGAGTGCGTGAAATCTGAAGGTTTGTGAAATGGACCAATGTCAATTTCATGGTTTTGAGATTGTACTATAGTTATGTTAGGTGTCGCTATTGGAGAAAACTGGGTGAAAGATACCAGTTTCCTTTTGTAACTTCCTTCCAAGAACCTGAGCAAAGAGCCCAGAAGGCAGAGCCTTTGCTGAACTATAGGCATCACCACCCGCAGGCCAGGACCCAGGAGAGGATTAGGCTCTGGGTAACGAAGGTGAGAACATTAAGAAGCCCAGGCTGAGCCTGTGGCAGCCACGTGGTGGCAGCCTACACTGGTTCTACAGCTCTCACCATGGTCAGGCAGGCAGTGAGAGGACGGTTCCACAATCACAGTTGTAAAGTGGAGGGGTGGTGGGGAGGGTGGAGGAGGAGGCTTAGAGTCACTTCCCAAGAAGCCAAGAAAACACGCCTCAGGGACTCAGATGCTGACTCTCTGACAAGTCAACAGCACTGACACAGACAGCTTGGGAGAACTGGGAAAGGGACAAGGAGTGGTTTTAGACTCTTGCCCCCAGCAGTCAGTGGGGGCAGCAGCACTCACTTTCAGATGCGCCCTTCTGGCTGGAACCAGGATGGCTCTTCTCATCACTTTCCTCACCCAACCAGTAGGACTTGGTGCAAGGAAAATACCAGGGCCTGGGGATTCCATACTGGCCTGAAAGCAAAGCACAGGTATGAATCAAGCTCGGCCACATTCCAACATTCCTGAGATATCCCAACCAGACCCTCTCTCTCCTTGCGCTGCCTTCCTTCGGAGACGGGACAGGCTGAATGGAAGTGGGGAGGGGGAGCTACCATTTGATGAGACCTACTTTGTATGACATAAGTTTGCACCTCTTTGAATCTCCCAAACACCCCATGACACAGCTGTCGTCCCTATTTTAGAGAGGAGGAAACTGAGGGATAATTCCTCTACCCAAGATCACTCAGCCAGTAAGTGGAGGACTCAGAATTGAATTCAGATCTGTATGATACGAAATTGCATATCCTATGCAGGAAGTTCAGGTAGGGATAATAAACATTTCACGTATACCTACCCACCTTCCCTTAGGGGAAAATCAGAAGGTGAACCAGAAAGAGTTAAACCTTGCTCTCTCAGAATTTGATCTTACATGAAAATGTCTCCAAGGCAGGTCTTGGTCAAGGAGATGTATTAAGGGAAGTAGCGAATAAATTTTTATGAATGCTAATTCGATTAGATCACAAGCCAGGGCTTGGAGCCAATGTATTTGTTATTCACAAGCTGTGCTGAAGAAACAGAGCCTCCACCAGTGGTAATTCTGGGGATGCAGATGAGAGAATTGGGTCAGCTCTGGGAGCAATCTCCTGGGCCAGCTGACCCAGGGTAACCCAACTGGGTTCACCTCCAAGCACTGACACTTACCAGCTGTGTGGCTACAGGCAATTATTTCACTTCTCTGAGTCACAGTTTTATCATTTGCAAACACTGGTTATAACAGTAACTTCTTCACTGCGGTCTTATGAGTATTTTAATAGAACCAAAGTATATAAAACACTTTGGACAGTGCCTGGCACAGAGAGCTCAAGAAATAAGGGCTAGCCGGCCGGCATGGCTCAGTGGTTGAGCATCGACCTATGAACCAGGAAGACATAGTTTGATTCCCGGTCAGGGCACATGCCCAAGTTGCAGGCTCAATCCCCAGTGGCGGGGGCGGGGGGGGGGGGGGGGGGGCGCGGGGGGCGTGCAGGAGGCAGTCAATCAATGATCTCTCTCATCATTGATGTTTCTCTCTCTCTCTCCCTTCCTCTCTGAAATCAGTAAACATATAATTTAAAAAAAGAAAAAGGGCTATATTGGTAGTAAGAGTTGTACTTTTAACATCAGCTGCTTTCCTTGGTCTGTGTGTTTGCCATAGGTCTACACATAGGTCTAAAGCCGTAGCCACTTTCCAGGGAGCCCCTGGCCCTGCAGAAGTCCCAGCAACAAGGGAGACAAGCTCTGCAGCTACAAGTAGCAGACGCCTAGCAGACAGCTAAAGCAGGGCAGAAGCTTGGCGTACCTGGGAAGACAGCCTCGATGTACCACGTCATCACCCCATAGAGGAAGGCGTCAAACAGCATCATAGAGACCGAGGTGGTGAGGTTGAAGCCATCTTCCTCCACGGGGCTCTCGAAGAGGTTGTCCCACTGCACCCCAATGCCCTGCTCCTCGAAAAGGGCAAAGTACTCACAGCCAAACCCAAAAGCCACGGGGGAGAGCAGGCTCTGAGAGAAAGAGGCGAAAGTCACTTATCCATCTCCTGTCTCTTTTTTTCTAACACTTCCAATGTAAATTTCACCTGGAGACATCTGAATGTGCAAAATGGATCAATTACAAGACATGGAAGTAGTCATCTACAGGGTCCCTCTGGGGGAGTGGGCTCCTTGGCAGCATATAAAATGATTCTATTTATAGCCACTCATTATGCACACACATTTCGGAAACGGAATATGATGAAGTGTAAAACTTTTAGAATTTTATGCTCCCAAAGATGCCCCAAGGGCTCAACATTCCTGCGCCCCACACATACACTCATACATCATCAAGATCCTCCCGAGCCCTCTGCTCAGCAGTGATGGCTCCTGTCAGAGCAGCCAGCCTGGGGCCCCTGATATTTAAGGGTCCAAACCAAGGCACCCGGAGGTGACGTTTGGAAGTGATCCGGGGGACAGCTGGCAACTCACCCTTACATGGGCTTACACACCCTTGAAGGCCCCTCCTCCCGTGGACAAGGGAGGGAAGTGTTGAGGGCAGGGGTCCGTGGGAGATGGGGCACCTGCTCCTCAGTTTTTTCAGTTCAGAAAATGTTACTCAAGTGAAACCCATGCTGGACACAAGGAGCACAGAGTCAAGAAGGAGCCACCTGTGACCTCAAGAGGTTTCAGTTCTATCTGTAGCTGTGACTTACAGTGAGCTCACGTGGGGGTGGAGACAAAAGGTGGAAACGGCATCTACTGTCTAAAGGGGTCCCCCAAACCCTCCTCCCGTGGACAAGGGAGGGAAGTGTTGAGGGCAGGGGTCCGTGGGAGATGGGGCACCTGCTCCTCAGTTTTTTCAGTTCAGAAAACGTTACTCAAGTGAAACCCCATGCTGGACACAAGGAGCACAGAGTCAAGAAGGAGCCACCTGTGATCTCAAGAGGTTTCAGTTCTATCTGTAGCTGTGACTTCCGGTGAGCTCACGTGGGGGTGGACACAAAAGGTAGAAACGGCATCTATTGTCTAAAGGGGCCCCCCAATGCCATTTACCCACAGCTAGGTGGATGGTACAGCCTGGCTCTGAAAAATTCCATCTGATTCAATTCGACCATTCGATTCACTGAGAAGACTAACGGGTAAACAATTTCATGAGACGCAGCCCCTGCCTTCAAGCAGTTTAGAATCTAGCTCTGAGCTTCACTTCCCATCCCATTGGAGACTCTCTCAGCCTGGACTGCAGCAGAGGAGAAGCCCAGGGGCGGCTGGGACAGCGGCGACCACAGAGAGGCCAGGGTCACTCACCGCGAAGATCTTGAGCGTGAAGCCCACGTAGTCCTGCCAGGCCACACACAGGACGTAGGGCAGGTACAGCATGAAGTAGATGATCCCCCCGCAGGCTGCCGCCAGGTTGGCCCGGGAGAAAAGCGTGCTGATGAGGAAGCACTGCAGGATGGTCACCACGGCGAACACGGACAGAAAGACAAACACCACGCTGGGGTCGCTGTAGGGCAGCAGGTTTCCCAACTGGAAAGGAAGACACCCAATAAACGTGCTGCCTCTTCAACCAGCAAGCACATCCTCGCACGATCTGCGGGACGAAGCAGGGCTCATTCCTTCTCCTCTTAGAGAGGATACTGAGGAACGGTGCTGTTTGTTTTTCTGATGAAGAAACCAAAGCCTAGAGAAGGGAAATGACTAACCCAGGACCACACAGCAAAATAGTGGTAAGTCAGGACCAGAACAGAGTCCAGGGTTGACACTCATCAAGGTTTATCTCAACAATTTTGTTCTTTGTTTCTCAAAGCAATCTGACCTGGCTTTTTCTTTTAAATGACTATGACTACTGGCGCCAAGAGAGTTGAGCCCTAGCTGGTTTGGCTCAGTGGATAGAGCGTCGGCCTGTGGACTGAAGGGTCCCAGGTTCAATTCCGGACAAGGGCACATGCCCAGGTTGCGGGCTTGATCCCCAGTAGGGGGCATGCAAGAGGCAGCCAATCAATGATTCTCTCATATCATTGATGTTTCTATCTCTCTCTCCCTCTTCCTTCCTCTCTAAAATCAATAAAGAAATATATATATAAAAAAAGAGTTGTGAGAGAGACGGCAACCCACACGACTTCCCCCTCCAACAGCCAAGGAAAATGGCCAGGCAATCGTAACATCCCCCTTGACAACCGGCCATGGATCCCACACTCCCAGTCACCTGAACTCGGTGGACCTTTACGTTTATCTGCAGGAGTTGGGTGTATCTGAGCAGGACCTGCCAGCATGCAGTAGTCCCAGAGTAGCTCCCATGCACCTGCTACAGGGCCCCCACACCCACCACAGAGCTCCGTCCCTCACAGTCAGGCACCAGAGCATGAGAGGGGTTTGCTTTTAGCAAGAACTGCTCTGCCACAGGGTCAGATGACCTCAGTGAAGTCTGTAACCCTCCTTGGTCTCATTGCTTTGTACGTTAGGTGGGTTATTTAGTGAGGATATACTAAGACGGCACCAGTGATAAGATTTAAACAGTGCTGGGCAATCGATAAGTGCGCATTTGTAATGAATAGTAACTAGTATGACATTGAATGTTAGTTCCTATGCCACTGCACTCCCCCCTCTTTAAAAACATTTATCAGATGGGTCCTTAACAGAAATGATTATGGAGAAAGAAAACTGGTGTATAAACTTATTAATGTATGTGGTGGACAGAGAACTGTGCCTAGAGTCCCATTCTGGGGGGACCTGTCCGGCTGTCAGCAGACAGCCTCCAGGTACCAAATTCTCTGGGTCTGTTACTGCTGCAGAGAGCACCTGGCCCTGGCGAACACACACGTTCAAGGACTGGCTGAGGGGCCTAGGGCAGGGGATGCCAGGGAGGGAGGCCTTGGGGAACCTAAAGAGCTGGACATTTCAGCTCCATGAGGGACAACTCTGACAAGCATATAGGCTCCCAGTGCCCATGGGGTTGCCTTGCATTGCCGTTCAATTGCTCCCTTTGCCCAGTCCTGCATCCTCCCCAGAGACATTGATCCCTAATAAATATTCATATGCCAAGCTGTTCCAGCCTCTGCTTCCAGGAAACCTAACCTGTAACCATGTGTCCTTCTGACTACAGTTTCTAGATCAGCAGTTCTCAACCTGTGGGTCGCGACCCCTTTGGGGGTCAAACAACCTTTTCTTTCACAGGGATCGCCTAAGACCATTGGAAAACACATATATAATTACATATTGTTTTTGTGATTAATCACTATGCTTTAATTATGTTCAATTTGTAACAATGAAAATACATCCTGCATATCAGATATTTACATTACGATTTATAACAGTAGCAAAATTACAGTTATGAAGTAGCAACGAAAATAATTTTATGGTTGGGGGTCACCACAACATGAGGAACTGTATTAAAGGGTCGCGCCATTAGGAAGGTTGAGAACCACTGTTCTAGATATTCCAGGAAGCACCGCCCAATATGAGTAAGGCAATGACCAGCTTCCAGATGCTGTCATGAACCTCTGCCCAGCAGACAACATGGCACAAGGTAAGTGTGTGCTTACCTGGGAAGCAAGCACCCTGAGCTGTAATCCTGCTTAGCTGCTACCCAGCTAGGCTGACCTTGGGAAAGTCCTTGTCCCTGCCGGGGCCTCACTTTTCCCACCTTTAAATTGGGGCCATCGGAAAATACATATATAATTACATATTGTTTTTGTGATTAATCACTATGCTTTAATTATGTTCAATTTGTAACAATGAAAATACATCCTGCATATCAGATATTTACATTACGATTCATAACAGTAGCAAAATTACAGTTATGAAGTAGCAACGAAAATAATTTTATGGTTGGGGGTCACCACAACATGAGGAACTGTATTAAAGGGTCATGGCATTAGGAAGGTTGAGAACCACTGCTCTAGATATTCCAGGAAGCACCGCCCAATACGAGTAAGGCAATGACCAGCTTCCAGATGCTGCCATGAACCTCTGCCCAGCAGACAGCATGGCACAAGGTAAGTGTGTGCTTACCTGGGAAGTAAGCGCCCTGAGCTGTAATCCTGCTTAGCTGCTACCCAGCTAGGCTGACCTTGGGAAAGTCCTTGTCCCTCCCGGGGCCTCACTTTTCCCAACTTTAAACTGGGGGCATTGCAGGAGATGGCATGTCTGACCCCTTCCCTCCCAAAGAATATTTGCTTTTCTCCCCTCACGCAGCCCATGCTGGGAGGAGCCAGGGGGCAGCCTTACTTTCAGGATGACCACCAGCAGGCTGGCGCTCACGAGCAGAGGGATGAGGCTGCTGATGAACCAGCTGAACCAGAGGATGCCATTATCCAGGCCCATGATACGCATGGTCTCCTTCAGCCGCGCCTCCTTCTCGTACACGATGCCCTTGATGATCACAGCCACCGAGTAGATCCAGGCCAGTGTCATGAAGAGAGGCATGGACCGGCTCATCACCCGCAGGAAGCTGAGGCCCCAGGGAAGGGAGGGGGGAGAATTAAAGACAAGTGTGAGCCAGACTCATGGGCCAACGCCTCCAGGCCTGCATGCAAGAGAAAGCACCACGACTGAGCCAAAGATGGCAGGCCCTCTGCACCCGGACAGAGTGCTCATGGCATGCGCAGTGCAATGTAGCGATAAAAATCAGACCAACAACGTATTGCCAAAATAAACTTCTCTGGGGGCCTGCTTTAGTAACTAGGTAACTCTGGGATGTCATTAAGCTAAATTGTGGGCGATTTTAAATGACTAAAACAAAACAGAACAAAAAACAAAAAACCCCAAACTCATTCTCTCATGAAAGTTCAACATCTCCAAGGTCATCTCATCACACTACTGACTTGCCTTGCACAACCAATATGACAGATGGTGTAGCTCTTGTCAGGGGTATTTCCAAACGGGAACAGGAAATGCAGTGAAGCAAATGGGACACAGAATCTGGTCCCTGAACATCGAGGTCCAAGGCCCGGCTTTACCCCTTCTGCACACACTGCTGCGAGTCAACATCAAGGCTCTTACTGCCTCAACTCACAGCATCCTCATCGTAAGACATCCTTTCTAGAGTGAATCTGGGCTGAGGGGCTCTTTGGGAAAGTCTTCCTTCGGGAAGTTCTGGCTCATCTTTCAGGAAATAAGAAGCAAGATAGTTCTGGGTGGCATGGCAAAGCTAGAGTGAGCCACACAAGGAGAGACAATTGCCCAGTGGAAAGCAGAGAGCAAACACAAGGAGAGGCACCCTGCTCCTTCTGCACTCTGATCTCTACACACACACACACACACACACACACACACACACCAGCAACAAAAGAGCACAGACACTTTCCATTTGGGAAGAGGCATCACCTATTTCAGATGCCTGAGGTGATTATACTTCTCCCCATGCTCTCTCACAAGAAATCATTAGATCCAAAGGCCCAGCTCCCACCATGAGAAGTTGGCAGCACAGTAACTAAGCAGTAAAAGATTATCTTAAAAGTCTAAGATAAAAAGGCCTTGTTCAATTTTACTTGGGTTGTTTCAAAATGTGGTTTATCCATTACGGAGAGGAAGTACATATGTTTGCACACAGTGAGCTTTTCTAGGTCCGGAACGCTGTCCCTGTGTTTGGGGAATGTGTGTATGTGTTTGTCGTGACATTTTAAACGTGCAGATTGGGAACTTTTAGAGATAAGTTACTTAGCTACTTGTCTGACTTTTGTGCAGGAAAGAGGTTCAAAAGAGTAAAGTGTAAAAAAAAGTCCTGGTAATTGTGGACGAGAAGGGAAGGAGGATCGACAGTGTGTGCACATGTCCGTGTCTCTGATGTGACTCAAAACTGTCAACTACCTACATCTGGTATCTCATTTCCTGAGATCTTCACAGAATTTCATAAACAACTTATGACCAGTATCAATACCCACATAAAATAAATAAAATCAAAGCGCTCTGTCTCCTCCCGGGGTGTGTGCGCGTCTACACGTCACCTGGGGACAGTGTCAGCTCGCTAAATAAAGAAGGTGGCTTCCTGGTGACTTACATGTCATCGACGTAACAGGGGTAGGGCATCTGCTGCACGTAGACCCCGGTTTTCTTCTCGGTGCCCGTCAGCACCCGGATGATCGCCTGTTCCACCACATCCTGCAGGTAGGCGAAGCCCCCCCAGACGTACCGCATGTCCTCAAAGGGGTCCGCCCGAGGACCAGGGTCCCAGTACCTGAAACCGAGACACAGGCGATCAAACATTTCGCAGAACCACACAATAAAAACCCAATCACCCGCAATCCCATCACCGCTCCCAGCCACTGTTTTTATGTTTGTATCTTACCTTCTGGTGTCAGTTGACATGTACACATATTTTTAAATAGACACCAGGAAGAGCATACCACTTAGCTTGTTTCCCCCTCCACTGAATACCTAAAATTGCATCTAGTAGACATACCACAATTTACCTGACCACTCCCTTCCATATTGATTGTTTGCCCCTTTTTGTAAAAAAGGATAATGCTAACATGGGGAACCCAGAGTCTTTTTTTATCCTTTTTCCCGCCGTTGATTTAATTCCTTGGGATTAATTCCCTTGATTGAGAATGCTAAATCAAAAGATAATAATATTTTCTAAAAAAAGATATTTTATTACCTTTGAAATAACTGTCTCCATCAAGAAATGTGGCCACTGCACCAAAATTATGCCACCCGTTTAAGTTTCTAACAAATTAGTCAATAAAAGTAAGAACCCCTAATCATCTTAGCTGCTCTTGACTTCCCCAGGGCTGGCTGGTGTGATGGGACTCCACTCACCCCTAAAATTGCATCTAGTAGACATACCACAATTTACCTGACCACTCCCTTCCATATTGATTGTTTGCCCCTTTTTGTAAAAAAGGATAATGCTAACATGGGGAATCCAGAGTCTTTTTTTCTCCTTTTTTTTCCCATTGATTTAATACCTTGGGATTAATTCCCTTGATTGAGAATGCTAAGTCAAAAGATAATAATATTTTCTAAAAAAAAGGTAATATTTTATTACCTTTGAAATAACTGTCTCCATCCAGAAATGTGGCCACTGCACCAAAATTATGCCATCCGTTTAAGTTTCTAACAAATTAGTCAATAAAAGTAAGAACCCCTAATCATCTTAGCTGCTCTTGACTTCCCCAGGGCTGGCTGGTGTGATGGGACTCCACTCACCCGTCTTTGATCTTATTCGTCCTCTCCACATTATCAATGTCCATGCGGATCTTGTACTTGACGTGATGGGGCAACTCGACACTGTCGGGGGGGATCCCGGTGAACACGATTCCAGCCCAGAATTTCCTCTCATCCAGCAGCTCCATGGACTTGTTGATGAGCCAAACCTCTGTTGCGATTGGTTCCACCTTGTTCAGGTTGACACACTGAAGGAAGAACAGCCTTCATGAGAAGTCTGGTGGCCAGAAAAGCAAGCAGTGACCCAGGAAGACCTGACCCTGAGAGCAAAAGGCTGTGTGGCTTTTCTATCCTCACTCCACAAATCTCCCCTCGAGTCATTTTCCAATATGCAACTGAAAATGGGTCATATTTCTTAACTGAAATTTAGAGACAAGTTACTTAACTGACTTTTGTGTGGGAAAGAGGTTCAAACAATGACCATGCCTCCTTTTCCTCTCTGTTTTCTTAGCAATTTTGAGTCATTAACAACTAACCAAATAAATAAACTTGTCCCTCTTAAGTGACATCATTTTTAAGAGATTAAATTTTTAAAAATGTAATCTGTCTGATTAGATTTCAGATAAATTTCATAGAAACGCTCTTAGGTCAGACAGAAAAAAAGCTCGAGTTAGACTTGTTTATTTACGTATTTGATCATTCAGCTGACATTTACTGAGTGCCTTTTGTACACCAAGTCCTATGTTAGGTTTGAGGACACTACTGTAAATAAGCCTGTACATTATTCCGAAGCATCCCTGCAATCTGACTGACTGCACCATCTCAGAGGGGAAAAACCACGGCATGGCCTTTTCTAAGTCCTCCACAGAACAGAGCCTCACCTCCATGAAGCGCCCTATGGTCTGGACCGCCCCGTTGGTCTCATTGAAAGCCTCTCTCCAGGTGTACACAGAGCCGTTCTCTGACTGCACGTCCTCTGGGTACTTGGCCAGAAACGCCACGATATCTTCGGCTGTCCAGTCTAAGCCGGCCAAGCGCTGTTTCCAGAAGTGGTCATTGCCCCTGCTGTTCAGGAGTGTCTGCCATTTCAATGGGAAATCACAAGCAGCAAACATTACAAAACCCTTCACGTACGTGGTCTCCTTCATTTATCTTCACAGCAAACTGCGAGTTAAATAACAGTGTCCCCGTTTTAAAGATGAGAATGTTGGGGTTGAGCAATAAATGAATATGATGTTAACCAAGACTGAGTCACAATGCTAATAGCCATGGAGCTGAGACTCAAAGCCAGACAAGTGCGAATGCAGAGTCCCTATGTTTTCCACTGTACCGAACAACCTAGCTTAGCAGTAAGTAACTACAGCAACAACAGTAATCACCCTTACTCTGCACAGTTACTATACTGAATTATTTATCTGCTTTACCTCACGCAACTCCATGATGAAAGTACCTTTAATAGCTTCCATTTTACAGATGGGAAAACCTACATTCAGAGCCATCAAGTCCTTAACATAAGGTCCCTAATAAGTAGCAAAGTTTAGCAAAGTCAGAATACGAAACACGGGCTCTCTGATTCTACTGCACCTTCCCACTACATTGAATTACTTTCCTCTCTTGAGACCCTATCTGATGACTCCTCTTATAGACCACATCTCTAGTCTGAATGAAGACAAACACACTTTTGGCTGTTTAGTTTGGGGAAATAATACCGTTATTAAACCAAGTAAAATAGGATCTTTCCCAACTGCAAGACACATGGGTCATGATGCAAAGGAGGCCTAACTTCCATTTCTTGCTCCCTAGCTGGTTGGCCCTCAACGTGGGTCTCAATGTGGAAAAACAGTAAAACCTAATTTGGTGCTCAACCGACAGCTACTTTCTTACTTTAAAAAAAAAAATACATTTTTATTGATTTCAGAGAAGAAAGAAGAGGGAGAGAGAGATTGAAACATCTATGATGAGAGAGAATCATTGATTAGCTGCCTCGGCACACCTCCTATGGGGGATCAAGCCCGCAACCCAAGCATGTGCCTTGACAGGGAATCGAACCGTGATCTCCTGGTTCATAGGTCGATGCTCAACCACTGAACCACACCAGCTGGGGATGGCTACTTCCTAAATGAGTCTCATTTCCACTAACATGAGCTGTTTTCCCCACGTGGCTTCATATTTACTATTTTAATGGAAGCATAATGATTTCATAGATTATATTTACTATAATTTCACTGACTGTTTTCATGCTGCTAAGCGTTTAGCCTATTTCTAATTTCCCACAATAACAATTATTATAGCAATAACATTTTCTGTCCTACAGTGACTTCTTCTTTTTAAAATTATGTCTATAGGATATATCCCTGAGGGTGTGTGGAATGGAGGTACACAGGGTAGCACATTTTTTATGGTTCTCACAATTTTCATCCCAAATTGCTTTCCAATAGAGAATAACAATTTATACTGTCGTCAGTAATATATGTATTTTTGTTAAAATAAATAGATGCAAAATTGTACCTCACAAATTGTGAAACAACTTTATTCGGAGACTTGAACTGAACGAATGAGGGCTGAGTGAAGACATGTGGTGTCTGAGGTGAGACCTGCCCTGCCCAGTGTGGATTTTGAACAGTACTGCCAAGGAAGCAAGACTAGAGAGATGAGCCCAGTGCAATCCCTGGCCACATGGCCATTTTAGGGTACATGAGGGGCCAGGAGACGTAATTTCACCCTGAGGAGTGGTAGCCAGGGAGAAAGCAGGGTCTTAAGATGAAGGTGCCAAAAAGCAGCTAAAAAGGAGAACGGTTTAGTATCGGTAGGGTCCCTGATGCAACAGAGAAGTGATTCTGGATCTGTGGGGTAATGCAATGGGTGTAGACAGAGCCACAGATAGCAGAGAGATAAGAGCTATCACAGAGCAGAATGGTGGTTGCCAGGGGCTGGGGTGGGGGAGATGGGGAGATCAAAGTGTACAAAGTTCCAGCTATGCAATCTGAGTTCAAAGGTCCACCCTATACTAGTGATGGAGAACCTTTTGAGCTCGGCGTGTCAGCATTTTGAAAAACCCTAACTTAACTCTGGTGCCGTGTCAAATATAGAAATTTTTTTATATTTGCAACCATAGTAAAACAAAGACTTATATTTTTTATATTTATTTTATATATTTAAATGCCATTTAACAAAGAAAAATCAACCAAAAAAATGTCATAGGTTCGCCATCACTGCCCCATACCAACAATACATACTCTCGACTTGAAATTTGCTAAGCAATCACTACATGAGATGATGCATATGCTACCGATTGTGGTGATCATCTTACAATGTAAATGTATATCAAAACATCAAGTTGTTCACTTTATATATAATTTTGGCTTGTCAATACACCTCAATAAAAGCTGAAAGAAAGAAGGGAGGACAGGAAGGAGGGAAAGAGAGAAGGGGAGAGAGACAGAGAGAAAGAGGGAAACAGAGCAAAAGAAGGAAAAGAACTACGCCAACAACAGCAGAGACCTCAGGCAGTGCCTGATGTGCCAGACTCCATGAGGCTGTGGGGGGTACAGAGTAGGAGCCCAAGCTTGCAGTGTGAAACAAGCATTCCTTCAAAGAGAAAGGAAAGTCGGAGGAGGCTCCTTCAATTTCCACCCAGAGGCTGATCAGCCCCTAGTCAGTGTCCAGCCTAACCACCCCTGCTCTCCCGGCCCCAGTATCTGTCAGCCTGACGGACAGCCCCACCATCCACCAGCCAGAAGTCAAAAATCCTCCTCACGCCTCCCTGTCCTTCACCCTCTCCATTCAAGCAGCCCTCAGGCTTCACCTCCTGCTGGCCCTGACTGTCCACTTGGCTGGCCTCCATCCTGGTCTCTGCCGCCATCGTCCTCCTCTTTAATCCACTTGTCACATCGGAGTAAGACATCTACATCTCCCCTTGCTTCAAGCCCTGTCATGGTCCCCTGGAGCTAAAGTCACGGTCCTCCAAACCACACGCCATGCCTTCTCCCCAGCCACAGCTCCCACATCCCTCTTGCACATCCTGGGGCCTCCCACAGGATCCCTAATGAATGCCACAGCGACGTGTACAAGGCTTTGTCCCAAAGAACTGGGAGCCTGGGAGCTGCTGGAACATCCAGGCCAAACTCTCCATTTAAGCAGGGAAAGCATCTACCTGCCTCCAGACCCGAACTCACGGAATCCCTTCCCACTCGTGGGATCCTCCGAGACTCGGGAGGAGAGAATTCCAACAGGGAGAAGTGCAGGTTCCAAGGGGGGGACCGGGAAGGGAACCAGGGAGAAGAGGCCTGGGATCACACGAGGTCCAGTCACTGTGCATGGCTGGGCCACGGAATCCCTTCACAGAGAAGAGACTGGAGCCCAACTGAGAACCATACTTGAAGGGCGTGCGTTGTGACTATTATGAGTCAGAAATTATTCAGTAAACCCATAAAAACTGTTGTTCATGTTTTTCTCACTAAAGTCCCTTGGTTTTGGAAAGGCCCCAAGTTAAGAATTCTGCATAGATAACAAGACCAGCACAACAAAGATGATTCCAGCTTTGCCATTAAGGGAAGGCCCCCTGGGAAATGAACCTCCCAGGGCATCTGGGGACAGTCCTATGCCTGAGATAGGTATCAGCTCTCAAACCCAGCTGCCTCTCTGATCAATGAGGTGTCAAGACAAGAAACCTGGCAAAATCCATCCCTGCTTCTTAATGGCAGCAGACATGAAAGGAAGCGCCTCCAGTTCGTGGAGATAGAAAACAGCCTGATGATCCTGGCTCAGCCCAAGGCAGGGATGATGTGATTAAATGGCACTCGGGCTCGGGCGGAGGAGACATTCTGTTCTTGCTCAGACTCCTCTGCTTTTGAATCGAATTGTCTCCAGAGCACTAATCCCTTTCAAGTGAAGCGGAAGCACTGAGTGCAATTAGCCTCCATGCGGTAATGGTGGCTCCTCGGAGAAGGTCTCTTGCACCTGTCTATGGGTCAGAGTAGCCCTTTGCTCCCACACCCATGTCCAAGTTCCACCAGGACACAGGAAGGCGAAGCTGGCTCTAGAGCCAGAAATGAAAACAACCAGGGTCCTGCAATCACCAAACGCTCGCTCCAAACACCAGCCCTCGGTTTCTTAGAAAACTGATGTTTGAGCGCCAGATGCATGGATGCTGATGTGCAAGAAACAGGGTTACCTGTGCTCATCACCTGCAGCTCTACAAAGGTGACAGCCCTGTGGCTTGAGCTCAGCTCAATACGTCTACACAAGTTAAAGGTAAAGAATTCTCATCTAAGCCACTTCTGGGTAAGTGACCAGAAACTCGCCTCTCTAGCATCAAGCAGGCACACGGTCATCAGAAGGACACTCACCCGGACAAGGTCCATTTCTGGGCTGCTCTCCATGAAGGTCCAGATCTTGGGGCTAAGCTCTTCCCACATGCCTTTTATGTCATGAAACACAGCCAGTTCCTGGAAGGTCTTATTCACCTGGAGTGAGGAGGGGAGCCAGGGAGAGGCGGAAGAAAAGAGGAGAGGCAGAGACATGAGAAATGCAGCTGCTCCCTGAAAAGATGCTCATCCCAGCACCCTCTCTCAGTCCTCTCTCAGCCCTTCCCATCCCCAGGAAGTACCTGCCGGCAGCGCCGATTCAAATACCCAAGGCTGGAGAGCCGGACCTCAACAGTCAGCTCCGGCCTGGGTCAGACCCAAGGTTCTCACTCTTTGGAAATCCCAGAAGAGCCAGGATTTGCTCAATATACTCCATCTGGCACCACCTGCGATTCTAGCAGGATTCTGGAGAGAAAATCCTGGGCCTGGGCAGCTTACCTCAGCCATGACCTGCCTCGTGGCTGGAGTGTCAGGTGTATACAGGATCTTCCCAACAAGCAGAGGCTTGAGAGCTTTCCATATGATGCGGGAGAGCGGACTGGACTCCAAACTCTTCATCACGTCATTGCAATAAGGACCTGTGACGATGAAAGGCAGATGCTCACATGCATGCTCACAGACCTGTGGGAACTAGCAGGGCTTTGGAGCCAGCGAGACAGTCCCAGGTTCAAATCCCTGCTCTGCCACTTAATAGCTACATAATAAATAACAGCCAGCCTGAGCCTCGGTTTGCTCCCCTGTAAAAAGAAAGTTCATTACAGCTGTCTGGAGAGCCCTTAGAACAATGCTTGATAAATAATCAGAGCTTCTTATAAGACTGATTATGGAAAGCTCATAATGGAGACGGATCTAGAAAATGTTTTTACTGTGCACAACAAGCCTGCATACCCCTAGATTCATACCCTCATGCCAATCCTCACCAATTTGTTTTCATTGAAAACACAGGGCTGAACTCAGAATTTAGTTTTCACGCAAAAAAAAAAAAAAATCAAAGAATTACCATGGGGGCGGGGGGGAGATAAGAGGGCATATGTAATACTTTCAACAATATTTATTAAAAATAAATAAAAAACAATTCCCCTTCATTAAAAGGTCTCATCACAAATATAAGTAACCAATGTAAAAAAAAAAAAATCCTAAACTAAGAAATCTGAAGTTAAACCAGATACTAGGGTTTGATTTTCCAGAAGGATTCCTAATTTTTTTTTTTTAAATTTCATTCCAGGCTCTTTTAGATACCAAGTATCCTCTCAGTGGTTCTCAACCTTCCTAATGCCATGACCCTTTAATACAGTTCCTCATGTTGTGGTGACCCCCAACCATAAAATTATTTTCGTTGCTACTTCATAACTGTAATTTTGCTACTGTTATGAATCGTAATGTAAATATCTGATATGCAGGATGTATTTTCAGGGGTCGCGACCCACAGGTTGAGAACCGCTGCTACATGCTGCAAAGACAATATAATTTTTTTTAAAGAGGATCTGCTCACAAGTCCACCTGTTGGGAAAATGAAGGTTCCCTCGGTTGACTTGCAAAGCGAGGAGCAGAGGGGATGGCGTTTCAGAAAACTGCCTGTAACGCCATCCCCTCCGGCTTGCAAAGCAACTGCGCTGTCTGAGGGCTTTACTCCAGCGGTAAGGAGAGGTTCTTGGGTTACAGTCATGCACAAAAAGCTGCCTCACTTGCTGTCTGAAAGACACACCTGCGGTTGGAAATGGAGAAAGGCTCGCTTGCATCAAGTTTTCAAGGGAAAGGATGCCATTGTTTAAAACTGTAACACTGGCTCCTCGCTGCCATCCAAACTGCCCGGGTGTGAGCAGCAGATATGGAGTTACAAGGTTCTTTAACACCGCATCGCAGCTAAGACCCAAAACAAACACCTGATCAAATGCCCGGGCCTGATGGGAGACACACGCCTTCACTGACAGGTATTTCAGAGGCTGTGTGGTTTACCAGAAAAAAAGCTGGAGCCAGGGGGATCTGGGCTTAATCTCGGCTCTTGTGGATTAGTTAGGCTTGTGTGGCTTTGAACAAGTCACTGAACCTCTCTGAGCCTGTAGAATGTGAGGCTATAAAACCTTCCTTGAATGATTACCGTATGAGTTCAATGAGCTAATAAGCAGAATGCATAGGAAATGTTCCCTCAAGGTTGACTTTCATGTTGTTGTTATTATTATTACTGCTATTTTTTAAGTTTTTATTATAAAGCACTAGTGGCCCGGTGCACAAAATTCGTGCACATTAAAAGGGAATTAATTAGAGGAAATATTTTAATATTGCTATTTTGTTTCCATCTCTCCATCCCAGTCTCTCCCAGTCTCTGTCTTTGTTTTTCTCAGTCCTCCAGGCCTCCCTGCCTCCCTCTCTCCCTCTTCCTCTTTCCTGGCTGGGAGGGAGCAGGGCCAGTGAGGGCAGCTCCACCTTCTGCCCTGGGGCCTCATTCTGAGAGAGGCTCTGAGAATGGGGAGGGAAAGAAAGGGAGAAAAGACTGTGAGCTGGTGGGCGCTGTGTGTGCATGGTTGTGAGTGAGTGTGAGTGCAGGCCCCGCCTCCCCAGCCCCACCTCAGCTGCCACAAGTCCCCACCCACCATAGCCTGCAGCGCACGCAGCCTGGGCGGTGGGTCGGTCGAGCCTTTGGTCGTTGTGGATGTTACAGACCCTGGCTCTTTATAGATATAGATACCTCAAGAGGAAGGAGAGAGGAGAGGGAGAGGGGAGAAAAGCCTTCATTATTCTGGGAACCACTCTCCTACATTCCCCAGAAAACTGGGAGATTGGCTTTCAACTATTCATTCACCACTTGATAAACACACTGTGTACCTGAGACATGCCAGGCCCCGAGCAGTGGGCATAGGTAGCTAATCAGGAAAAGACGCTAGGTTCTAGGTGCTCAGTGGTGAGCAAACAGACACAAGCACATCCAATGCTGCACCAGAGGATGAGGGTTAGCATGAGGGAGAGGGGACACAGGGCTGCCTGAGTCTACATCGAAGGTGGCAGAGGCCAGGGCTTGGGCCTGCAGACACTCACTTGTAGAATTGTCATAGACGGCGCCAGCATCCTCCTCAGTGCCATTGCCTCCAAAGAGGGCTTTGTAGTTGTTGTCCTCATACCAGTTGAGGGACTTGATCTTCAGGCCCCCACCCTCGGGGTGGCCACAGACGATGCGGGAGACAGCCTGGTATATCTGGGTGGAGGAGATGGAGCTGTTCACGTTGGTCAGAAACATCACCTCCTGCCGCATGTCACTCCAGCTCTTCATGCTGAACAACTGAGGTCAGGGATCAGGAGGGAAAGGAGAGGGAGGAGGAGACAAGGGTAGAGCAAGGGTGGGAGACAGAAAAGAGAAAAAAACATCTTATTTTCTCAACCTTTCCAAAGCTACATCCCAGAACATATTTTGTATGACATCATCTCCTCAGAGCCTGTGAGGGGATGCCAGACCATGCTACCAGGGTTGTGGTTTATGGCATCTGTGTACTCTGAGAGGTCTGGAATGCAGACCTGATCTACCTGATAGAGTTCAAACCTGCATTTCCAAGGGATGCCAGGTGATCTCCAGGCACAGTCAAGATAGAGAAGCACAGCTGGGCAGTGAGTGGAGCCGCTGGCAATGGGCATTATTTCATTCTGATTGTCTTCTGGTGTAGGAGAGAATGCTTTCTCTGAACAGCTACATGCTCATATACATACATCAGGAATTGCTCGCACCCTCGATCACAGACTCATTTCTAAGACACCCCCAACCTCAGTGTGGAAACTAAGGGGCCCCCCCAACCCTTGGGAGAAAAGTGACTGTGTGTGCCGTCCCATCCTTGTCTCAGCTAAGTGCTGGGTGATGGAAAAGCATGAAATGGCAAGACCCGAGTTTGCATCCCAGCTCTGTCTCTCATTAACTTACAGGCTTACAAGAGTCACCCCTCTAAGGCCCAACTTATCATCAAGACGATGACAGTGTGGTGGCGAGGAATAAATCACATGACACACGAGAGCGGCCCCTGCACAGAACAGCCCCCGCGAGCAATGAGTCAGACACTCCAGGCAGCCAGGGGCTGTGTCTGACTTCCACTCGACAAGGGCTTTGTCTCCCATACAAATGGATTCCCACACCTTGTGGAGTTCTTGGCCCCATTGCTCTTATAATTAAATATTTATGGAGCACTTTGTATTTCCACACATTTCACAGTACATCATTAACAGATCCCTCATTTCCTTGAAAAGTCACTGCATGTTCTCACCACCTGGAAAACCAGCCGGGGGGTGGGGGTGGGAAGTGGGGGGACGGGACTATGGAACCTGCACACGCCTCAGAGGAGGCCTAGAATCGGACTCCACGCCCCCAGGTTTCTGTCTCACGGAGCCTGCTGGTTCCCGTGAGTGACAGGGTCCTATAGATCCTGACCACCTCCTGCCCCAAGGGGAGCCAGGCACAGATGTCAGATGTCACAAACGCCTGTCCCTCCAAAGAGGGAGAACAAGTAGGTGGCCAGCGTTTCCTCACTTATCCTTTTCATAACCTGCATGAGGTGTACAGACAGGGAGGGAGAGACGGCAGACCACCTTCCCTTTTGTCCGTGAGTGGAACAGCCATGGAGATCTTTAAATAATAGTGAAAGCCACTCGCTTCTCTCCCCACAGGCGGCCTCACCACCACCATCCCGCCGTGCCCCAACCAAAAGAACACACTGCCTCCCACATGAAACCAGCCGTCTCTGCAGGAGGCACTGTAAGTGACGAGGTTACACGGGGCTCTCCCAGCACCTGTCTGAGGGGCACAGTCCACACTCCTCGGTGAAGCACTCCCATGCACAGCCAACAAAAAGTGGTGTCTGATCTTCCCTGGAGTGAGTGAATGGCTGACTGACCTGCTGCCTCTCAACCCACTGCCATGTGCCCCCACCATGGTCTCTTCTCAGTTTAATAGCCAGAATGCAAACAGTCTCAGGCGCTAGGTCACGTCATGCCTGCCCCTCTGCTCCCAGCCCTCTGCTGGCCTCCCATCTCACTCAGCCCGACCAGGCCTATGTGACACTCCCCTCCTCCTCTGACCTCTCACCTCTTCCTCTGGCCTCTCACCTCCTCCTCTGACCTCTCACCTTCAACCACCCTCTCACCTCCAACCACCCTCTCACTTGCTCACTCTGTTCGAGCTACACCGGCCTCCTTCCTGGTCTTTAAATACATTCCTTCATCGTGCCCTACACAAGTGTCTCTGTATCTGTGGTTTCTCCTGTGTGGAGTTCTCTTCCTTCTCCATTGAAACACTGACATTTCCTGCAGGTTCAACTGTCACCGTATCAGAGAGGACTTTCCTAATCACTGCCTTTAAAACAACGTTTCATCATGGTCTCCCTTCCCTGCTTTATTTTTCTTCCTTGCACGTATCCCTGTGATCACATCATACACCGACCTGTCTCCCACCCGACATGAGACCCAGGAGAAGAGGGAAGTTACTGTGTTCACTGTTGAGTCCCAACATCTAGCGATGCCGGGCCCCTGGTAGGTGCTGGGTGGATCACAGACGCTGCTCCCTGCCCTGCCTCTCGATCCTATCAGGCACAGCCTCCCTGTCCCGTTACCCAGACATGAAGCTCACGTCAGCTTTGACTCAACTACGTCCACTCAACTGCCAAGTCCTGTTTATCTATATTTTCTCTCTTTAACGAGTCTCCTTCCTATTCGATATCAGTTACCACTGGAGTTCATCAGACAACAAGTGGGCTACAGCAGCAAGAACATGGGCTTTGGAGTCCAACAGTCCTGGGTTCTAATCCCAGTTTTACCAATTAGATGACTGTGGGCAAGTTCTCTAACTTTTCTGAGTCTGTCATCTATAAAATGGGCACAATAAGACCCGTTCATATTTGTCACATGGATTATGCAGGAAAATTGAGCGAAACTCCATGAACCAGGGGAGCTGCTCAGAAAATATCAGCTCCCTTTTCCTTCAAGGGTTGTGCTCTGGTCAAGACAACCAACGTTTCCCCCAAACACTGAACAGATCAATAAGTGCATTTATTTATGGATTTGTCCTCTCCCAGTTGTCCCAGAGAAATAGCAAGTTAGACAATGGGTAATTTGTGGCTGAACTGACTTGAAGGTTTTACACAGAAAGGAGCAGATGGCCCCTGCTTGCCCTGGACCAGGGAGCAAGCTGCCAAGAAAAATGTATATTGCTCGGTTGGAGAGTTTCGCCACATCGGCAGTGGGAACATCACGTGCTTTTCATTTTTTTTTTTTTAACCCCAGACAAAAGGCAGGCCAGTGATGTAAGAGGAAACAGCTGTACCCAGACCCTGAGCTTAGAGGCAGCCTCCCATGTCACAGTCCCTGCTCTACTTTCTGTACGACTGGGCGAGGACCTGGAGGAGCAGTCAGGTCAGGGCACGTCAATGTCAGCTAACGGGACCCTGGAGAAACGGCTATGGACTTGCCAGGCAGTGTTTCCTGGAAGAACCCCAGGTGACCCAGCTTCTCCCCTTACAGAAAGGTCACCAGCATTCACAACTGAAGTAACCAAAGGCAGCTGGAAGGGGGCTTCTTTCCCTGAAAGGGACCCCAAAACCAAGCCTCTTCAGTCAGGCACACATGAGCACAATTTAAAAAAAAAAAAAAAAAAGAACCAAAAACAACATACTAAAGGGGTGACGGCTTAATCTTGGTGTTTTCTATATTTTCCAAGCATTGTGCATTTTCCACAGTGAACATGCAACACTTTTATTCCCAGGGAGAAAAAAAGAGAGAATTTTGATATTTGAGAAACACCAAAAAAAATGAGTTAGAGAAGCAACTCAAAATAAGGCTGGACCATGTCTGAAAAAATGTCCCCACAAGTCAGTCCTATCCAATGTCCCCTGCCTTCCTTCTGCCCTCTGCCCACTGGGCTCAACTCCTCACATACTGGGCTCCAGACAACTCCTCCTTCCCAAGTCTCATCTGCAACAAGGCTGGGTGTCAGAAAGGGGCAGCACTCACTGGCAGGGAGGCAGAGGAAAGGTGAACTGCTTTTGTGAGCACCTACAGGCCCGCGGATCCTATGACAAAGCTTATTCTTACACATCTGTCAACCTGTGGGCTCAACTCAATGTTCATCAAGAGACTATATTCCCAAAGTGGGACCCCATAGGCCAGATGTTTACAGGGGAAAGATGTGATTTAGGGATATCCACATTATTCCCTTTAATTAGCATACAAATATTTTGGTAAAGAGTATCTGGCCTTGCAACTGCAGAAGAAATATGGAGAAGTTGCTGGTAAGACAAATGCAGCACATGGGGGGGTGGGATTGGGGAGGCGGTAAGCGGGGGCCTCTTTCCAAAGGAGTTATTAGCAAGGGGTGGGAATAAAAATGGAAGAAAGTTCTAGACTAGATATGGGGCCTTTAGCCACTAGCTAATTAGCTCTGAGACATCTATGAGTCTGTTTCTTCATCTCTACAGTAAGGAGATCAAACCACATCATTTGAAACATCACCAGTGCCTCTAACACTGATTGTACATTTCATATGATATTTAAATTTAAAGAAAACCTTGTTAGTCAACTTAGGGTAAAAAAAAAAAAAAGCGACAGAGGATGGTCTGCCTCCTGGCGCTAGAAAGGCACAACTTACCTCTTGGGCCAGAGTCCCGAGACTATCCAGCAACATTTTTGTGCCTTCAGTCAGCTCCTGGCTCAGGAAAGGAGATATAGAGTCTAGTCCTGTCTGGAATGAGAAAAAAAAAAAAAAAACTTGGTTTTTAAACTCAAATGTAAACCTGAAATCTCTATTGAAAATAAACAAGTTAATTAAAACCATTCACAACTATGAGTTTAAACACAAGATGGGAGAAGGAGAGGGAGAAATACTGATGTGAGAATGGAACATCAATCGACTGCCCCTCCATGCCCCTTATTGGGGATCGAGCCTGCAACCCGGGCATGTGCTCTGACTGGGAATAGAAGCAGCAACTTTTGGTGCAATGAGAGGATGCCCAACCAACCGAACCACACTGGCCAGGGCATAAATTTTCTCTTTAATTCAATAAAAGATAAGCGAGAGGGGGAGGAGGAAAGGAGGGAAAATAAGGTAGGGATGCAGAGGAGGGCTAGATGGACTGGTGTTGAGTCCTGTTCCAATGGTCATTCAAATTCGCAGATTTACTCTGTTTTGTGTTCACCGCGAGTCATCCACCCTCTAGAGCAGCGGTTCTCAACCTGTGGGTCGCAACCCCTTTGGGGGTCGAACGACCCTTTCACAGGGGTCGCCTAAGACCATCCTGCGACAGAGGATGGTCTGCCTCCTGGCGCTAGAAAGGCACAACTTACCTCTTGGGCCAGAGTCCCGAGACTATCCAGCAACATTTTTGTGCCTTCAGTCAGCTCCTGGCTCAGGAAAGGAGATATAGAGTCTAGTCCTGTCTGGAATGAAAAAAAAAAAAAAAAAACTTGGTTTTTAAACTCAAATGTAAACCTGAAATCTCTATTGAAAATAAACAAGTTAATTAAAACCATTCACAACTATGAGTTTAAACACAAGATGGGAGAAGGAGAGGGAGAAATACTGATGTGAGAATGGAACATCAATCGACTGCCCCTCCATGCCCCTTATTGGGGATCGAGCCTGCAACCCGGGCATGTGCTCTGACTGGGAATAGAAGCAGCAACCTTTTGGTGCATGAGAGGATGCCCAACCAACCGAACCACACTGGCCAGGGCATAAATTTTCTCTTTAATTCAATAAAAGATAAGCGAGAGGGGGAGGAGGAAAGGAGGGAAAATAAGGTAGGGATGCAGGAAGGGCAAAGAGCATAAGGTGGGTTGAGTATATATCAGATCTGAAAGACGTAACTTCCTTGAATAACATTAACCCCAGGAAACATGCCTTGAAACTAGGCCACAAAATGAAATCTGAGAACCAAGTACCTGCACTAATATTAACTGTGATTTCCTGCTCATACTTGTTTGACAAAGGCCAGCAAAGCTTGCCACATCACTTTTCCAAAGAGCTCCAGTAAATAACTCTGTTTGGAATTCCTTATATCATTTCTCCTAACCAAAAACACCCCTGGCTATGAACTCATACAGGTCCCTACTGACCACTGGAGGCAAGTGATTTTCTCGTATGAAGTAAGGAAAGGGGGTGGAAAGAGGAAAAATAAAACCTTTAGTGAAGAACTGTACATTCTGTGTTGAGTAAACAGGAATTCATGCATTATTCAATATTTTTAGATCATAACTAAAGACTATAATAGCATTACAGGAAGAATGAACAAACACTTGTTGTGTTACTCAAAAGCTCCCACTTCTTCTATAAAATGTTCTAATCACAACACAGTAACAGTTCCTAAAAACATGACATTCTGTCGTGCTGTCCCCAGAATGACAAAGGCCATTGTGCCCTCTCCTTTCTGGGTCTAACAGATAACTTCATTATTTTCTTTCTCTCCTCATAGCTTAATAGCTAAATTATAAAAGGCTGAAAATTTAAAAGGCAATTTGACTTTAATTTCTGGGCTGGTGTTTTATTTCAGCTCAGTGTTCAGCATAGTTCCTGGCACATAGTAACTAGACATGGCGAGTGTATAGTCTGGCAGAGTTAACCGGTCCCGCTGCCGCACAGTAGGTCCTCAGAACTTGTCATCCTGCATAACTGAAACTTTGGACCCGTGACCCACCTCCCTGTTGCCCCCTCCCCTTCCTCCTCTCTGCTTGCATGACTGACTTCTGCTGGTTTAGATTCCACATGTGAGGTGGTGTGCCATCTGTCTTTCTGTGTCTGCCTTTCTTCACTTAGCACAATGGTTCTCAACCTGTGGGTCGCGACCCCTTTGGCGGTCGAACGACCCTTTCACAGGGGTCGCCTAAGACCATCCTGCATATCAGATATTTACATTATGATTCATAGCAGTAGCAACATTACAGTTATGAAGTAGCAACGAAAATAATTTTATGGTTGGGGGTCACAACATGAGGAACTGTATTTAAAGGGCCAGAAGGTTGAGAATCACTGCTCTAGAGTCTTTTGGTGGTTCCCTTGCTCTAAAGATGAGTCCCAATCGCCTAACATGATCAGCTACTCTGCCCACCTCCGCAGTGTCATTCCTTACATCCCTTCTCCCATTAAACTCCCCATAGCTACATCCACTCCACTCAGTGCTACTCAACCTTGTGCAGGTCCTCTAAATGCCACCTCCTCCTCTCTCCCCTCCAGACGCATACAGAGGCCATATCCTCTGCCTAGAAGAGTCTTCTGTTCTTTATCCAGCTAACCTCTACTCTTTGGTTTCAACCTAGAGGGTGCTTCTCTCCTGATCCTCAAGGACTGGATGAAGAGGCCGCATCAGGGCCTGCACAGCACTGAGCAGAGGGGTTTTCGCTCTGTAGCGCATCTGCTCCTTGCTTGGTCTCTCCCTTCTACTCCCCCACCTACAGGGAAGCTCAGAGAAAGTTGTACCTTGCTCACCACGGCCTCCCTGGCCCAGTACATGGCACAGATCAGGGTTCAGTAAATATTTATTGAATGAATGAATATGTTTATTTATAGATTACTACACAAAATGAAGACTGGGAGGGATTACTACTAATGCAATGGAAGTCACAGCCATACTAGAAAGAGAAGACAGAACGTCTGTGACATAAAAATGTAATTGAAAACTCTTTTCAATTTATAAAAGTCTTATCTACACAGAAATTTTTCAGGGACTCTACTATGAAATAAAGTGAAATGTGGATGTATTTTCAATATAATGCACAATTTTGTTTTCCTCATGCCAATGCATGTTGCCAAGTGTTTATGGGGACATTTCCAAGTTTCTTTAAATACTCTCATAAAGTAGACTAAAATTTCTCCTTCACTTTGCCCATATTCAGAAACTCCAGGTTAGGACTAGGATTTATGTTGTAGCTCAGACTGAAAGTAAACCATGTGCCAGTCTGGGAGGACCCATCTCTCTAGAAAGAAATTATGTGACACAAAGTCCTAGAGGACTCCAATTTCTATGGATTATAGTGAGGAACACCTCTTTCCAGGCATATCTTTCTTCCAGGCCTCTTTCCTGGTTTAAGAGAAACTACAGACAAATCAAAGTGCTATCTGGTAAGAACACGGATGTTAAATGATGTTGTTGGGAGGGGCAATTCACCAGAGATCTCACAAAACCCCCAAAATGCACCTGTTCTGGAACTACTCACAACACTCCAAAGACCAAAATGCTCAAGTTCACCCCCCTATTCTTTGAATAAGAATGAACATGTATTCTCATGGACTGCTTTTCTGAACTATTGAATCCTAGACTGATCAGACTTTGTTGGCATTTTGGAGGTGGGGGGGTGAGTAAATGCAATTTTGTCACTGGTTAAGCTAATTATTGAACGTGCTTCCATCCAATTCCAAGGCTTTCCCACTGTGACAGCTCACAGTGTCTCCTTTCTGATGGGCTTTTTAAAATGAATAGATATCTCTCTCTTGCCAACAACGGTTTTGAGCCTTTAAAAAAAATCTGGAGAACTCTTTCTTCAAATGAACTCATATAATCTCAAATTATAATTTTTCAGAAAAACAGGTCTTCTCTGATTAAAACAGGCACAAAGGACCTTGGGCTTAGACTCAGAGCCACACCCAAACTCACTCTTCCTCCATTTACCCTTCGGGAGATAGCCCAAAAGTTTGCAAGAACAGTTAGAATGCCACTGAGCTAAATTATATCTCAGACTCCCAGCCAGCTCTATGTTTCTACAAAAACAAAGTCACGTTGTCCAAGGAAAAATTTCACATTCCACCAGAATTAGTGCTTGAAGCTTGTCCACACAGCACGCCTACTCACCAGGATGGGCTTCAGAATGTCCAAGTTGGAAAGAAACACTCGCTCTGCGGCATCCAGTTTCTCCCCTGGCAGGCTGCAGAGGCTGGAAACTTCCTGGTCACCAAGTTGGATCACCTCTTCTAACTTTGATCCACTGCACAGATTGGTCAAACGTAACTGGTAGCCGTGCAAAAATACCTGGAAGCATTTCATGCAAAGAGAGACAAGCAGGACTGGGTTACAAAGATGGGAAGCTGGGTCCCTGAAGCCTTTTGGGTGACTTCACATCGACACAGCTCTGAAGAACGGACACCCCTGAAACAGTCCAATGCACTGGGTCTCTTTCATGAACTTCGGACTGTGTCCAGGCACGATCTGCCAGGGCACCGAAGACTTGAATGTTGTGTTGGACTCATCGTCTCCCACTCTCCTGTCCTTGAGAAGGGAAATCCTGAGTCCAAGTCTTTTCTCAAAAGTGGGACACACGATTCAGTGACTAGGAATCTAGAGTGTGAACTCCTGAAACCACTTTTATTAGAGAAAAACATTCTCATTATTTTAGAACTTATAATATGTTCAACAGGGGTTGGGCTGAATTATAGAAAAAGAAGCATTTATTCCATTTATTTGTAGGTACAGATAATTAACGGATGCAAAGAACTATTCGTGCAATTTCAGAATTTGGAACTCTTCGTGTTACTTGCCCGGGAGCGGAGTACCAGCAAGCCAAGCTTCTTGTCTCATTGGGACCAGTTCTAAGTCACTCTTATCTGTTCATTATAGCAGACCCCCCTAGAGAACCTCTGCTTGGCCACATTTTTACTTAATTAGCTTTTCTGGGCCTACATAAACTGAGCTTCTGGTATGGCCCTGACTGTCCACTAGACAGCAAGTCCAAGAAGAGGAGGGGCCTTGCTTTTCCTGCTCACTTTGGGTCCCTAGTGCTGGAACATTACCAACAGTAACGTTTGTGGAATAATGAATGGATGATGCGACTCCTTCTTACTCCATTACTACCTCCCCCGTTCATTTAAAACAGTGCAGCTTGACCTGCTTGTAGTACAACCTATTGTGAGTGGTGAACCTCAAGCTTCACAAAACCCATGCAGCTGTCTGATGCTGCAGAGCACTTGGCCTGCCACGGTCTCCGTTACGTTTTGACCGACTACCAGGTACCCAAGCGCACTCCAGTCTGACTCCTTTCTCTAACTGTCCTTGCCTTCAGGCTGCCGGCCTCCCTTTCGTGTCTGTGGTTAAGGGTTCAGGCTACATGGAGAATCTATCACCACTCAAGGGCCACCTCCATACTTAGCATACCCCCCATTTTTAACTGATCGGACGTGACATGACAGATATGAAACTGGCAGGGGGCAGGGGAAATCATGCTAAATGCAGCTATTTTCATAGGCCTGCTCCCTTTGGCCCACCTCCCGACCACACAATTGCTAAACACAAGGCATATTTTCCTAGTTTCATCAGGGCAAGCGGTAAGCACATTTTTCTGATTTTAAGAGTTCGACGGCATGTGCAGCAAAGATCTTGTTTTCAGGCATAAACATTTGCACTGCTTCTGCTTATTGTAAAGACGAGCTAGTATGCAGGCATGAGACCGGTGAGGAAGCAGCTCCCCTTTCTGCCCGAGAATAAACACGGGAAGCCTCTCTGAAAATCAATAACCATGCAAGGGGGTCTCCTACCTGCTCCACGGGAGCAGTCTACCTAGTGATGCCCGAGGAAGGTTTCCAAGAATGGAAGGTTAAAAATCTATATAAACACTAACATTACTTCCTGGTTATATAAATTAAGAAAGAAAAAATAAACATTTTCTCCTTACATATCTTTCTTTAAAGGAAGCATTAAGTTTTTAAAAATCTGCTGACAGAGCTGCTCCAGATCGATAATCCTCAACCCTGCTTATTGTCTCGGAACTGCGACATTTCAACGAAAATGCTTAATTCCTCTTAACTTAAAGTCATCCCCCTTTTAGGAGGAAGTTAGCAACAAATGCCAGTTGACAGGCAGGAAATCAGCTTTATTTCAACCAGCTGGCCCCTGACGGCAGGTTGCAGGTTCCACTTTCTGAACGGCTTGGCAGCGCCAGCCAGCCTGCGCAGGGAAGTAAGAATAGGTGAACTTGAGCTAATGCCCTCCTTCAGCGCCATGAGGAGGACAGGGGCTTATTCGTTTCTCTCCAGGCTCCCCCGAACAATGCCATGGCCATCAGCCCCACCGAGGCAGCCGCGGGTGGCAGCTTACCTGGCGAAGGCTGACATCGGCCCCCAGCATTCTGTCCACAGTAGGCCTTGGCAGAGAGAGGTTGTGATTCAGGAATCCAGAGAAGGTTTCATTGTCCACCAGGAAATCCCGCAGCGTCAAACCTGCAGGGAAATAGTGTTTTATTTTCATTTAATAAGTAATTCCAAAAAAAAAAAAAATGTCAGCACAATGGGGCGAGTGGAGAAAACCTCGTTTTAAACCGATGGACAACCACAGGCTTCTGGCGTAAGCTCACAGAGCAACGAGGTTCGGAAGCTTCGCCATCAGGGAGGGACACAATGAGGTTGCTTTCTGAAGACGTGGGGAGCCATACTCAGCATGCGCTCCTGGGCTCGACAGTACTGTGCACACACGCACAGCCTGCCCTGGCTTTCCAAGGAAAAGACAAACCTTTCAAAGGCTCTCACCCATCCCACCCGAGATCTGTGGCACTAACCCCACTGCTCCTGCCTCCCCGCTGCAGCTCAGATTGCTCAAATCAGAGGTATTAAAAGTCGTATTTCTTCAAGCCCCGGGGCTGCTTTCCTCGTAAAAGGGCAGTGGTTCTCCGGCTTGAGAATCACTTGCAGGGCCTGTTGACAAAGCTTGCTGGTCCCATCCCCAGAGTACTGATTCAGGGGCCCGGGAGGAGGCTGGAGAATGTGCTTTTCTAACAAGCTTCGGGGTGATGCTGATGCTGCGGGGCCAGGGGACACTTTGAAGACCACGGGGGTGGAGCATTACTCATATCAAAGTGCTTCCACCGACATCGTCTCAGTTTAATTCCAAACATGGAACACGTGATACGGAGCTCCAAAACCCAGCTCTGCAGCGCTTTAAGGAAACACCTAAGTGTATATTAAAAAATCACCTGTAGTAACAGTTGGATTGCTGCAGGATTTCATACCGAACCCCTTTAAAAAATAAGCCCTCCACGTGCATTAGAGAATGCTCCGATCCAGTGTCGTGAAGCAGAAAGAGCACTGGCCGGAAAGGCAGAATGTTAGTCCCCAGGGTTGGAGGCTGTGCATATGGTGCCTCTTGGGAATTTCAGATCATCTTCCTGAACCTCAGCTTCATCTCCAAACTGAGGTTTCCGACCAGATACTAGGCAGGGGCCCCCGACTCTAAAATACCATCTTCTTTGGCTAAAGCGATGGAGACAGACCGACTTTTACAGGAGAGTAGAAAAATAACCTACCATCCCTCAACAGAAATGTCTACCACCCCAGACACTAAAGGACTGGTCTCTGAGCACTGTAAGATCAAAGTCAGGGAGGTTACTAGTACTTGGGAATTACATGAGGGTCTAAGCCAGTGGTTCTCAACCTTGGCTGCACATTAGAATCACCTGGGAATCTTGTTAAAATCCTGATTTCTGGGCCTCATCATTAGTAACAAAAAAACAATTTCCGGAGGATGAGGCCCAGAAATCAGGATTTTAACAAGATTCCCAGGTGATTCTAATGTGCAGCCAAGGTTGAGAACCACTGGCTTATACAAACTTGAGGAATGCACGTTATAAAAAGGAATTTAGCACCAGTCCCATCTCTAGAGAAGTGAGTCTCTGGCTACATCTAGTTACTCTTCATGTTCTTGCCCAGTTGGTGTCCTCCTCGGTACAGGGATACCTGTAGACAGCCACCTGCGTGGGGCTCACCATCACGTATGACATGATATTGTTAATGCAGGCTCACCTCTGTGGTTGTCAAACCTCAGAGCACCTGAGCCCCACTTAGGGAGCGTGCTGCTGAAAGGCAGCTGCTTGGGCCCACTCCCCAGAGATCCTGAAAGAGTGGCTCTAGAATGGGGCCTAAAAATCTGTAATTTAATAAGTACCCCTTCGACTCTGTGCAGGGGTCCTGGGAACTGGACTTCTAGGAATGGTGTTTTATTTGTATGCCAAATCCACTAGGAGAATGTGCTTTTCTAACAAGCTTCGGGGTGATGCTGATGCTGCGGGGCCAGGGGACACTTTGAAGACCACGGGGGTGGAGCATTACTCATATCAAAGTGCTTCCACCGACATCGTCTCAGTTTAATTCCAAACATGGAACACGTGATACGGAGCTCCAAAACCCAGCTCTGCAGCGCTTTAAGGAAACACCTAAGTGTATATTAAAAAATCACCTGTAGTAACAGTTGGATTGCTGCAGGATTTCATACCGAACCCCTTTAAAAAATAAGCCCTCCACGTGCATTAGAGAATGCTCCGATCCAGTGTCGTGAAGCAGAAAGAGCACTGGCCGGAAAGGCAGAATGTTAGTCCCCAGGGTTGGAGGCTGTGCATATGGTGCCTCTTGGGAATTTCAGATCATCTTCCTGAACCTCAGCTTCATCTCCAAACTGAGGTTTCCGACCAGATACTAGGCAGGGGCCCCCGACTCTAAAATACCATCGTTTTCCCTGCCCTATTTCATTTGACTGTCCACTTCTCCTTCTGCTCACTCTCTTAATAACTCAGCTTCTTCCAATACAGAGAAAGCCAGCTGATCATGAGCACGTGGTGGGCAGTCATCCCCTGCAGACTGCAGCCCACGGCCCCGGCACTGCCCGACCTCTAGGGGGCAAACCCTGCAAACCAAGTCACTTAACTGAGGAGACACATGTTAGATCTGAAAACCCCCTGCGGTCTGAGGCTGAAAGAGGACAGGAGCTGCACCTGGGAGTGAGGGTTCATGTGCGGGGACGCAGTGGGAGGGCCCAGCAGCCCAGCCAGATCTCATCAGTGCTGTCGGACCCAAGTGTGTTTGAAACCAAGTCACTTAACTGAGGAGACACATGTTAGATCCGAAAACCCGCTGCGGTCTGAGGCTTAAAGAGGACAGGAGCCCTGACTGCTGTGGCTCAGTGGATAGAGCGTCGGCCTGCGG